AATAAGTAAATGGCATTTGTATAGCACAAATTCCGGCACATCAGCAAGTTTTATGAGCTTTACAATCTATACTATTACCCTAAGCAGACCTGGGAGCATTCTGAAACAATCTCAACTTCCAGGAAAGCACGCATAGTACAAGCTGCCATTTTAAAGTCGCAGAAACACTAACATGCTAGCAAAACCTTTGGCTGTGTAGTAGTGCTGGGCGGCTAGGTTCCCGATTATTGAAAGCTAGGAATCGTAGGAATCGACTCCGAACCCAATTACTTACTTTATAATGACGTGATTTCTTCCGGTGGTTACCTGGTTGGCTCCGAACATCTTCAGGGTGTAGGATAACCTTGATTTTGGAATACTATGAAGCATCAACTTCTATTTTTCAAAAAATATATTCTTTAAAAAAAAGAAAAGATTTTAATGATAAAAGTAACTGGTTACCGTTGGTTTACGTAAAAAGGAGACGGAACTTTACTTCCTTAGTATAAATCGTGGGAATCGGTTCCGGAATCGACTCTTCGCCCAGCTCTACTGTGTAGATCTATAGCTATATCTATTCACACCTGGGTGAAGTGATGAAAATGCGTGTTAAGTGCCTTTTCCAAGAGGACACACCATCCGACCTTAGGCTCGAACTCCTGAACTCTCAAACTCATGATTACGAGCCCGAAAACACATTCCTGATCTGCCAGAAACATCTGCGTCAGACTCAAGGAACAGAATCGAACTGTTTGCCGTCTTCCATCATGTCAACGACTCAAACAGAATTACTAGTCTGCGGTCTCCTTCCTCTTTGTTTTTCTTCTGATTAAATTCCAGATTCACTGGAAGAGAGTGGGTGAGTGAGAGAGAGAGAGAGAGAGAGAGAGAGAGAGAGAGAGAGAGAGAGAGAGAGAGAGAGAGAGAGAGAGAGAGAGAGATTAAATTCCAGATTCACTGGAAGAGAGAGGGTGAGATAGATAGATAGAGAGAGAGAGAGAGAGAGAGAGAAAGAGAGAGAGAGAGAGAGAGCTTAAATTCCAGATTCACTGGAAGAGAATGGGTGGGAGAGTGAGAGTGAGAGAGAGAGAGAGAGAGAGAGAGAGAGAGAGAGAGAGAGAGGAAGAGAAAACAAGGGAGAGAGAGATAAAACAAGAGACAGAGATAGATAGAGAGAGGGAGAAAGAGAGAGAGAGAGAGAGAGAGAGAGAGAGAGAGAGAGAGAGAGAGAGAGAGAGAGAGAGAGAGAGAGAGAGAGAACATTGACCCCACAATACATTAAATCTGTTCCTGACCTTTTTTAGGCTGTAGCAATCCTCACTACTCTTTATCTCGTGAATTGATAACAAGGACAATAAATTGAGCGCACTAATAATCATGGGCCGCTAAAATCGGGACCAGGCAAAATTTAATGTTAAGAACTACAACAATGTGTTTTTCTTGACCACACAGGGATTTTGTCGAACAAAGATTTTCTTTAACTCTTCGTGTGCCAAAGGTTTTGGACACATTATCATTATTAATCACGGCGTATAGGGGGCGTCGGTAGTGTAGTAGTCTTCTTCTTTTTTGCGTTCCCGTGTTAGATCTCAGAGGAGGTCGACTTCTGGTTTTTCGATCTATTGTGCAACTGATGTTTTTTTACGTATGTAACCGTTTTTCTTACTTGGTAGGGTCCCTCGCCTTCAGGCAACTGCATTCCGATTTCGAAGGTACTCCATATGTTTTTATACTGGCAAGAGTATTTTCAATTTCAGCAGAAATTAATTTTGAGTTCTGTACAGGTGGTGCGGTGGCCAAAGTTTACTGCTATCGATTTTAGGACCACCAAGGGATTTGTAACGTGCGCAGCTTGCACATGGAACCTCCGAGATTTTTTGTCCTTATCCGAGAAGGTTAGGTGTTTGATCTTGCCTAGCCTAAGATCAGGGTCGAAAGACAGCAGTAAGAAGGAGCCAAGGAGAAGGAGTACATGTAGAAAGAGTCAGGAGTAAATGAGATAGGAGCCCGGAGGCTGGGTGTTTGGTGTTTTTGGGTGGGTGGGTTGTAGAGAAAAAAAAAATCCGTCGGTGTCAGGTTTCGAACCCAGATTCTATTGAATAAAAGGCAACCACCGTTCTTCAAGACCTCGGGAGCCCATAGTCTAGAAATTATACCGTCATCGTGAGACTGCAGGCTCGGTGCTTCCAGACTTTACTCGATCCGACATTGTGTGCGTGCTTGGGAAAGGCAATTTACAGAAACTTTCTCAGTTGGCCCAGTCTTATCGGAGATGGACATTCAATTCGGAGGCCCTGCTTCTAAGATAACCTCGCAACTTTGCAATGGGCGTTGTTCCTATACATTTTCATTTCATTCACACAGTGTAAAGGAAGGAAGAGGCATACGAAACTTAGCGAATAAAGAGTTAACAATTCAATGTCGTTAGGACTGCTAGCAGAGGTTTGTCTGCTTCTGTTGGTTTTTTTCCAAAGCACGTCACATTTCAGCTGATAAAAGTGAGCACATCGTTTTCTAATGCTGCGTAATATCTGAGTCGTTTTAAAATCATGGAGAGCAGATATCTTGAATTATTTGGAACGTTTGATGTCTGCTTTCTTCAGGAAATCGATGGGAGGAGATGAGACCTCGGACTGTGGGGTGATAATACCATGTGACTGCAGTTTGAATAAAGGTCGCGAGAGTCAGGTCGAGCTTTGGGATGGCCAGAGTCTTTAGTTTTAGTTTTAGTAGAGGTTTTACGGCACTCGCAACGGAATAAGGTAATATGAGCGCCAAGGCTGGAGTCAGGACCCAGTACCTGGATGATGTGACTGGTTGTACGGCGCGGACTGACACACCCTGAAGTGCTTGTGCAGGTTTTATCCGATCATGTGATTGGTCAGTTTTGGGAATGTTGATTCTGAAATCATTTCCTGTACATTTAATACATATCCCGTACACATAGGTGTTGACCAAGACTTAATTTATAAATTGAAATATTGTCTATATTCAAGTGTGTATATTTTTAAAATTATTTTTATTTTTGTGCGTGTAATAAGATCACATCGACAACAAGCGACCAACCTGATCATGTGCTCAGTAATGACGCAAGTTGGGAAAATAAGAGAAATTTTATATCTCCAAACTTTCACGACATGTGGATTCGATGTCGTGTCAGTAGGAAAGGCAGTTTATACTAATTTCTCATTTGGCTCGGTCATCTCGGAGACGGAATTTCAACTCGGATGGTCTCGTCTCTTAAATAACCTACTAGTATTTATAGGGTCTTTAAATCTGTACCATTTCACCCTTTTCACTACATGTGGATTCAGTAGAAGACAAGTAGTATTATTATTCCCAGCATTGTGACTTAATTGTGAGGCAGCGTGGTGGAATCAGGCTCTCGTCAAAATAATCAAAGTGAACAGACTTGCATTTTTCCGCTGGTTTGTGAATTTTTATAAAATTTCTGGGTTTTTTGCTCAACACCTTTCATGCCCGTTAAAGAACTCATTTCTGTGTGGATTTTTTCAGAAAAACGTTGATTAAATGCACAAAAAATAAAAATTTAAGTTACCACGGACTCTTATGCTAAGGAAATAACTAATGTTTGGCGGCCATTTTCTCATTAATGTTACCTCTGAAAATAGGTCACCCTGACCTCCTTCATTCGCAAATATCTCGACTTGTATTCAAGATAAATGGATATTTTTTTTCATCCAAAATAAAGACAAATGAACAAGCTTTAAGATGATACCAATAACTCTACATGCCCAACAATTGACGAGAGCCTGATTCCACCACGCTGCCTCACAATTATTATTGTGCTTTCGTTGTTGTTCTTCCTCTGTTTACATCATGGAGCAAATACTGTTATTGTAACTGTGAACGTTTTCGACATTGCTTTACAGTTCACGTACATGGAATCCCACTTCACTCACCGAAGATGCGCTTTCTGATCATTCGTCAACACTTTGAGACGCGCCTAATAAAAAATATTGTTACTTCGATATTCATACATATTTTAAAATTTATGTTCTATATCTGAAATCTAAAAAGGCAGGCAACAAATGCATATCGACTCCACTTGCGTGTTGAACTCACTTGAGTTGATTTTCAGTTAGGATGATCTTTTTCTCAGGTCCCAGCACCTCTTCTTCTTTACAGATCCCAACGGTTAAATTGAAATTAGGATGAGTTGATCTTTTTTTTTCACTCCCCCAAACGAACGTAAATTCATCCGTAGTTGACTGTACTAATAAATGTCTTGATTTGTGCTCGAAATGTGATGTAACATTGTATTAAATATGTTTTCTGCTGATCGTGCATAACGTGCAACCGCCACGTCCTTTAAGAGTTGATTGATATAAATATGTGACCGGTTACCTCATTGTAAGTTCCAGTGGATGGCACTGGCATCTCGACAACAAAAACAACAACAGCAACAACAACAACAACAACAACAACAACAATAATAATAATAATAATAATAATAATATAAAAAAATAATACCAATAATAATAATAATAATAAATAATAATAATAATACAAATAATAATAATAATAATAAATAATAATAATAATAATAATAATACCAATAATAATAATAATAATAATAATAATAATATATTTGTACAGCACCAATTCCCGCTCAACCGTAAGCTATATGCGCTTTACAATCTTTAGTATTACTCCAGCAGACTTCATGACAGCACTCTGGAACAATCTCAACTTCCTGGGAAGCATACAGTGCAAGCTGCCATCGTACAGGCGCTAAAACACTAATATACTGACGACGGATAAGAAACATCTTCACACAGTGAAAAGGAAAAAAAAAGAAGATTAATTAATTAAGAAATCCAAAGTCACATAATATTCAGTCAGGATCTTAGACTTTAACACTATAATTGTTTCTGGCACCATAAATAAATCATTGATGGTCTGGTCCGATGGATTCCCAAAAGTGCCGATCTATCTCTACAATGAGGGCGAGATCTTTCGTGAGGAGTTTCTCACTTCTTCTGAATCTGGCTCTGACAATGTGTCACGCGACTGCATCTGGGTCAGTGACTGACCGCCTGTTCTCCAGAGCAGCGTTGTGTGACGTCACCAAGAAGATCTCCACCGGCTGTATGGTCACTCCCAGGCCTGACAGGACAATGTCCAGTGTGCATTGCGTCAGTCTGTGTGCGCAGGATGACCAGTGCCTGGGGGCCAGCCTCAACTTGTCGTCTGCTGTCTGCTTCCACCACCGGACCTGCGCCTACACCCAGCGGACATGCACAGTACCTGATCACGAGTTCAGGTGAGACGCTTAAGGCGTGACGTCACTTGTTTTTGTTGCTGTTGTTTGTTTTTTGTTAGTGTTTTACGGCACCTGCAACGCGTCACAGGTTGCAGACTTGTTTACCTTTTCAAAAAGATTTTTACTGCTTTTGTAACACATTTAGGTGCTGAAGATTAGAGGTACTACAAGAAACAAATACATAACATTAGGAGGAGAGATAAGAACAATAGTAATATATGTGAGGCAGCGTGGCGGAATCAGGCTCTGGTCAGTTTTTGGGCATGAAGAGTTATTGGAATTATCTTAAAGCTTGTTCATTTGTCTTTATTTGGATGAAAAAAATCCATTTATCTTATATACAAATCGAAATATTTGCGAATCAAGGTGGGGTTACCTGTTTTCGGAGGTAAAATTAGTGAGAAAATTGCCTCCAAAGATTAACTATTTCCTTAGCTTAAGAGTCGATGGTAACAGAAAATTTACATTTTTTGGTGCTTTTAATCAACGATTTTCAGAAAAATCCACACAGAAATGAGTTTTTTAATGGGCAAGAAAGGTGTTGAACCAAAAAACAAAAATTTGATAAAAATTCACAAACCTGTGGAAAAGTGCAAGTTCCTTCATTTTGATATTTTTGACGAGAGCCTGATTCCACCACGCTGCCTCACATATGTGTTATAGGAAAGAAGGAGTAAACCGCTCCAGAGCACCCGCCAACCACCCACCAGCTGCGTAGCCTACTGCTAGAAATGAGATATTGTTTTTTTAAGGAGATGTAGAAAGACCTGTGACAGTTGAAGAGCTCAGGGAGAAAATGGCATAATTATGAATAACATTGTGTGAGTGCCTGGTGAGAGGTAGACCTACCGTAAGCCGCATTTGTTGGAACTGAGATACAAGGCAATAAAAGCCAACAATCGAGTAAAAAAAACAACCCCAAAACAAAATATAAGTTTTATTCGAAAATGATTCTGTAGCCATTCATCTACCGATATTTACGAGGCCTTGTGTTTACTTTACGCGAAAAAAAAAAGTATTTTGAAGATATGTTCTGACACACCTCATTTGACATAAAAAAAAAAAGATTGAGTGGGAACATTTACTGTCAGAGCCAACATCGGCGGAAAGTTTTTTCCATCTCATTCATAAAAGCAAACCCTATCACATTGTATAACAAAGTTTAGGTCAAAATGTAACCTGTCTCGATCTGGCAATTTCGCACCAGAGTGACAAAACGTAAAAGAGACCAGGATTTGCGCACGTGCAGGCCTATTCCACGTCATGAGCAAAGCAAAGCCACAAAGCTACTCTACGAAATTGCTGGTATTGTCATTTACCACAATTTCTATGCATCATTAGAAAAACAATTTAAAAAAAACAAACCTTTCACTTTCACTTTCACGCCATAGATCTATATCAACATTTAGGTCAGCTAGTGTGCTTTCCTGTGCAGTGCAGTGCACAGGAATAAATTTGACACAATAAAAGAAGAGGGGGGGGGGGGGGGGCAAAAGGTGGAAGGAATAGGAAAGAAAGGGGGGGGGGGGCGAGGCTAACGTAACAATTCTAACAATTTGATGATGTATAATTTAATTAAAAGAAACGCAAACAGCAAAATGAACACAGAAATATCGCCAACTAATATCGGAAGGGCTTCGGCTGTTAAATCAAATTCATTGCATAATTAATAGCTGACTCTTACGCCTATACTTTAATGAGCAGTTACATACAATAATAATAATAATAATAATAATAATAATAATAATAATAATAATAATAATAATAATAATAATAATTTTTAAAAAAAAAATAATGATGATGATAACAATAATAATAATGATAATAATAATAAGAGACAGAATGTGTATAGCGCAGATCCATGCTCAACAATAAGTTCTATGCGTTTTATTATCCTAGCAGACCAGATTGCGTTCTGAAACAACCTCAGCTTCTGGGAAGCATACAGTGCAAGCTGCGGTTTTATAGGCGCAAAGACACTAACATACCAACAAAATCTTACCCGTCTTTTGCCGGGTATCCACTCCCACCTGGGTAAAGTGAAGGAGATTCGTGTTATGTGTCATTCCCAAAGACACCGTGTCGTGCCTGAGGCTCGAACCCCCGAACCCCCAGCCTCGTGATTACGTGTCCTGTAGCCACAAATGAATGTACGAAAATGAAAAAGCCCCCCCCCCCCACTTTGCACCTCCATTTTTTTTCTCCCCAGTCTCCATCACAGCTTATTACACCTGAAAATATAAATTGGTTGCTTTTTAAATCTTGACCTACTCCAAAAGTGGGCAGTGATCCACCTATAGGAGAACTTTGGTTTTACTTGTGTGTATAATATTTGTTTGCTTATAGAGAAAACTCTCCTGTCTTTTAAAGAAACTGAACAAGGGGCAAACACTTTACTTTCGATTTTCTCAAAACATATTTTTTTCATGACAGCGCCCTTGTGCTTAAAAGCGACACATTCTATCAATGTCATCCCCGTCACTACCCCGCCCTCCAACTTTTCTCATTTCTTCGTTAGATTTTACCTCAAGTTATCCTGGACCTCCCCGTGTGACCACCAAGGAAAGTTTACTGCCTCTGAGGGGAGGTGTGAGTGTGTGGGCGGTTGGGTGGGTGCTCGCTGTGAGCGGTGGCCATTCTCTTGTGACGAACTTCTCACTCATGGCTATAGCAACACTTCCCTCTGGCTGACCCTTGACCCCTACGGCGACGGGTCACTGCTCACCCAGGCGCTGTGCCAGGTCAGAGGTCAGAGTGACGTCATCACCTATGTGTTCCGGAACAGCGGGAGCGCCACCAACCTCCACAACCGAAGCCTGACGGATTACGTCACAGGATACAAGATGGACGTCCACGACTTCTGGTTGGGTCTTGACGCCATCTCGGCTCTCAGCGGCTCCGGCCGGAAGTTGTGTCTGCAAGTTGTGCTTGATGACGTCACTGGAAAACAACACCAGCAGCAGTGGCTCTACTCCCTCTATGACGACTTCCGGATGAGTGGGCCGTCCTCCGGGTACACCTACGCGTTCCGGAGCTTCTCCTCGGGAATGTCCGGAACTCTGGGCGTCACGCCCTCCATGAATCTCCTCGACTGTCTGGGCCACACGGCCGGGATTCCATTCTCCACCTGGGACCGTGATAACGACGGTAACGCCACGGCCAACTGCGCTAAGGAGCAGGGAGTGGGGTGGTGGTTCCCGCCCTCCTGCCACCTCCCTTGTAACCCCCTGGGCCCCCTCGCCCCCCGTCACAACCCGCCACACCCCCCCACGGCCCTCGCGCTCCCTGGACTCGACATGGCGGACAAGATGGTGGCCAGATACTTCCGGAGAGTCGAGGCTTACTTTGTTAGTTCTTGATTTGCACATGTGACTTTGGGAAGTGCCGAGGGTTTTTTTTTGTTGGTTTGTTTGGTTGGATTTTTCTCTTTCTTTTTTTTTGTGGGTGTTTTTTGTTTGTTTGGGGGGTTGTTTGTTTGTTTGTTTGTTGTTTTTTTGTTTGTTTGGGGGGGGGGGGGTTGGTATTATTGTTGTAATTAATTGTTGTTCCTGCTGTTGTTGTTATTTTCATTGTTGTCGTCGTCGTTGTTGTTATTATTGTTGATGTGTTTTGTTTTCGCGTTTTTTCTTCTTTCTTATGCACTCTCCCACCTTACCGGCGTCTGTGGTGTAGCCGTTAGGAGTTTTGCAGTTGCACGAAGGTGACACGAGTTCGATTCCCTGTTGGGAACACATTTTTGATAAGCTTAGAGTATCTGAGTTTTTCTGTCAGGTACTGTATCCCTCTCAGTCATGACTGTCCCTGACAGGCACGGTTGGAAGCCTCTCTCCTAAATTATAACCTGAAGTGTGTCAATGGAGGCGTAAAAGCAATTATATATATTCATTTCTATATTTATGTCTCCCATCCCTCCCACTCTCCCCTCCCACACCACAGCCCTCATCCCATCACTCTTATTCCCACACACCCATTCCATCGCACTCCTTCTCAACCCCCCACCATGTCCTGCCTACCACATTGAAGTGCCACACCGATACATCACAGATGCCGGTCAAGAAACCTTGAACAGATACCGCAGTGTGTCAGAAATACTGGTGACCATTTGAATAAATAAAACAGTAATGCTCCACGTCATGTCTTTTGGCGCTTTTTGATAATGTGATGATGATGATGATGATGATGATGATGATGATGATGATGATGATGATGATGCCCTTTATGAAAAGTGCACTATAGTAGTTACTAAGCACTCCATGAATTCTGTTGATCTAGAGTCAGAAAAATGTAAAAACTGAGCCACCAAAAAGCGTTATAAGGACACCCTCAAAATGTCCCTCAAGGACTTCAACATTACTCCTTTGTCACTGGAGACCCTATCTCCTTACCGACCCAGGTGGAGAGCAGAAGTTAAAGTAAGAAGCAAACCATATGTGACTATGGGGCTTCACGAATTAGAAACGCTGATGCCAAAAATGAAGCTGGCAAGCTGCCGCACACCCACAAGAAGTAATGAAGTTTTAAAAAGCTCAAACTGTAGCACACTCTTCTAGGCCGGAACTGCTCTCATTAGACACAAGCCACAAACCATCTTTACTTTATTCACTGGTTTTAAGAAACATCGGTCATCGTCAGACATTGTCAGATGATTGTATATTATCATACATTGCTTATGTAAAGCCGTGTATTGGTTGTTCACAGCTAGGAATCAAAGCCAACACAGGGTAGGCCAACGCGAGTAACAGGTGGGTTTTTTTACCCAGAAGAATTGGAGATGAAAGGCAAGATATAATTAATACAGCGTCAAAAAACAACAACAAACAACAACAAAGACGAAAACAAAAAAGCCACCAAGACAAACCCCCCCCAAAAAAACAACAACAAAACAACAAAAAAACCCACACACACAAAAACCCAAACAAAACTAAACAAAAAGTTTAATAAAAACCGACAACTTGAAAATGTCTCGGTGACACAGCTCGAGTTGATAAGGACATCAATAATGTTATTAATTATATGATCCATCTGGAATTCCAGAAGTGCATTTAGTCGACCAGCTGTGCAATTATTGTACTCAGCCCAAAATAATTCATTTTTTTTGTTTTGATTAGTTAGTTTGTTTGGTTTGTTTGTGTGTTTGTTTGTTTGCTTGTTTTAAAAAAAGCTATTGCAGTTTCAGAATTTGTGGAATTGGTTGCATGTGCTCGAGAAATATTTTGTCAAAGTTCAAATGCTAAATATTTAGAAAAGCAAAAAAGATGCATTAAGTAAGCATTGATCTAGTTTTTAAAAGAATGACACGATTTTCTCTTTCTCCTGAAAAGTTTAGCTTTGTGAGCTTGTGAGCTTAGAACATTTGAACAGCTTGTAGGCCATATTCCAAGAACCATCAGTACCAAACCCCAACAGGTACACACTTGAGATAAACACGCTATGTGGTATAGGAAGGGGGGGGGGGACCAGACTGGCCCTGACGTGAGTGGTCAAGACTAGCCCACGATACCGTCCTGTTCAAGTTCTAAGTGGACATAGCACAGGACAGGTATGTGGTAGGTGCAGGGCACGTCCTCCCAGGCCCAGCCCGCTGTGTAGGACAGAGAGACGCAGTTCGAATCCGCGTCCTTGCTTGGGTGGGAGGGAGCCCAATTGCTGAAGGAGGCGATGGCTTGTTCATTCTGTCCGGTTTGGGGGGGGGGGGGGGGTAGAGATGGGTGCAGGTTTGTTTTTTTTTTGGGGGGGGGGAATAAAGAGAAGTTTAAAAACATCAGAACTAACACTTGCATTAACTTCAAGAAACATTATTCTGAAAAGTAAAAGTATTTCTTTCTCAGGGACTTCGAATTGTAATAATGAATTAAGTCATTAAAAAAAGAATAACGTCTACGCTGTAACACTATCAACCTCATCATCTTCAATAACCTCATCAATATCACAACGTCACAACAATATTATACCCAATACAAAAACTAAACTTATCACAACTGGGTTTAGACTATTATAGCTAACATATCACATACACATCATTGTAATAATTAGATGGCGTCGGTCTATAAGGAATGTGCAAGGGAAGTAAGAAAGTAAGAACATTTATATATATATATATATATATACGTACATGTATATATATATATATATATATATATATATATATATATATATATATATATATATTTTTTTTTTTTTTTTTAATTTTTTTTTTAATTTTTTTTTTTTTTTAAATTTTTTTTTTTTTTTAATTTAAAATTTTTTTTTTATTAAAAAAAAAAAAAATTTTTAACCCACAAAAAAGCAACATCTAGAATTTCAATTTGTGCCAGTGCTACACGATGCTTTGATTTACTACTAATTCTGTCCTGCCAAAAATGGAACAGGACGGCAATGACTCAATTCTGAGATATTTCATAACGATACATATAGCGATCGGAACCTAGTTTTATTATTTCTTTAGCTCAAAATCAAGAAAATCTGGCCCCTTCTTGATCTCAGAAATGTTGAACGCTGCTGTGTGGCTTCTTCTTCTTCTTCTTCTTCTTCTTCTTCTTCTTCTTCTTCTTCTTCTTCTCAATTTACCTTTATTATTATTATTAGTAGTACTTTTTAAATAATAATCAATATTAAATTTATATTTTTGTATTGTCATTATCATAATCATCATTATTATTGTCATTATCAATATCATTTTCAGCATTACTGTTATTATTATTATTATCATTATTATTATTATGATGTTGATGATGATGATGATGATGATAATGATGATGATGATGATGATGATGATGATGATGATGAGGATGGTGATGATGATGATGATGATGATGATGATGATGATGATGATCTTAACTTTTACTTTTATCCGCCGCTTATACCCTTTTGGGTGTCGCGGATTATTATTGTAATTATGATAATTATTATTATAATTATCATTATTATTACTATTATTTTTATTATCATTAACATCATTTTTATGATCACAAATCCTTCTCACCGAGTGCGACATGTAGAGGAAGGTCCCCTCTACCTGGAGGTCCGTGGCCCCGAGCCACACGTGCATGTCACTGGGCGATGTTCCCGCCACTTTGCTCAGGTACTGGGACACTCGCGTCTGCTCATCCTGTGACGTCACCTCCACCACCTTGCCGTCGATGACGTCACAGGCGGTGGTGGCTTCGAAGAGCGAGAGCTTCTCAGAGAGGAGCTTGAAGCAGAAGTTGTCCACTTTGTCGTAGCCAGGAGGGCA